GACTTAAAGCACGATTTTGACTGCACTGCAAAAGGTAATTGACAAGTTACAAAATAACCAGCGGCGAGAAGTCTGGAATACAACCCTATTTTCCAGGCACTCATTATTAGGAGTTACTCAAATCTGTCTTTACCTCCTCTACTCACGTAGAGCTATTGCACCCACCTACCTTGTTTCTCTCTTATTTTAATGCACTATGTAATGTACTAATTAACATGTATAAATCTGTCCAAATCAAAATACAAGATATGTGTTTTCTCCTCAATCAGTGCTTTATTCTATAGTATATGAATAAATGCCAACTAGGTATATGTTGATTTGAAGGATAAATAAGGCAGACCAACCACATCAACTGGCGATAAGCATATGTTGGCCGGCGATACATTGTTATCACTGTTAACATACCAGTTAACCGAGTCCAATTGTGGCGACCCTCTTTCTTGATTGTTTTTCGGATAACAGATGGGTTAACTGGTAAACCGGCCGTCACTCGGCATCTCTTGGGGCAGTCATTTGGGATGACCCTGTATATCAATAACCGGCAACTGGTTAATTCAATAACTGACCGATTACCACGCCAAATTAAAGATGTAATGTTGATCTTCATCATATAAAACATGGTTTCTTTTGACTGAATATCCTCACGACTTCAAATCAGTTTTTAGAATACGAAGTTCCATGAAAATGGTTACTTGCCTCCATATTTAAAAGTGGAGTTCTAATTACTATAATATAAAAAGTACAAATGATGGTCATAATTGGAGCATATACAAGATGGCTTGAAACAAAGACTCACGACAGAGACAAATGGATGGCCCTAAAGCTGGATATTGAAAAAAGCGTATGGATGCGAACAGTGGGGCTTTCTGTTATGGGACAATCCAAGTACCATAACGGTAATACAAGGGAAGGAACCCTTGTATATTAGTGTCCACCTAGCCCAATTAGTGCGAGGCCTTTTGGGGAGGACGCCCAAGAGTAAAACCGTGCAGGTTTGGCCCAAAGCGGACAATATCGTAGTAATTGAGCGTCCTGGTTATGACACTTTCTTTTCGCAGTATTGGAGGCATTGGGGTTTGGTCCTTAATGGTTAAAATTGATCAAAGCTTGTGTGATTACTGTGTCTTTTTTTGTTATTATGAATGGTTCGGCTCACGGTTATTTTCGTCTTCGACGGGGCATTCGTTAGGGTGATCCGTTGTCCCCTCTTCTTTTTGCTATTTATAGAGAAGATTTCTTGACCTTGCTCTCGAGTGCCCTAGGATCCCAACAACTCCATGGCCTGAAGATTCATCAACATGCGAACCGCCTAACATCTATTATTTGCCTATGATTCATATATGCTTCTAAGGGCCTCTTTGACAAAATGCCATTATCTTATCCAACTTCTGAGTTTGTATGAGGTGACTAGTGGCCAAAAGGTTAACCTACAAAAACCAATAGTCTGTTTTAGTTCTAATGTTACTAATTAGGAAGCTTAGGGTTTGGAAACCCTCTTGGGAGTCTCATCCATTGGAGATTTGGATAAGTACCTCAGCTTGCTATTGCAGATTCAACGTTCCAAGGTTCTCTCCTTTCGATTCGTTGAAGATGCGTTGGCTTCCCGCATTAAGAGTTGGCGGTCTAAAGCTCTCCTTGGCACCCAAAGAGGTGGTGATTAAACCTATTGAATTAACGAATCTAGTGTACACGATCTTCTCCTTTAAAATTCCGTCTACTAGCTGTCGTTGATTGAATAGTCAATTAGTGCATTTTTGGTGGATTAGACAAGTCAATGATGACGTGATGTATTAGATTTATTTGCTAGCTATTTGTGTCAGTAAGTTTCATGTGGCGATGCTGGTTAAACAAGTTTGGAAGGTTTTGATATCTGCTGATTCTTCTCTGGCTCATATGTACAAGGCGAGGTATCACCCCCGATGTGACTTTTTTGATGCAACAGCGGGTAACCGGCCTTTTTGGGCTTGACATTGAGTACTTGAAGGTCAGAATTTACTAAAAAGGGGCATAGATAGCGAGTAGGATGCGAGACAACCATACTCATTCTTATAGATCCTTGGTTACCATCATCTCCTCCTTCTTCACCAGTTCTTTTACCGCGTGTCTCGCTGCTGAACCCATAAATGGTGTCTCTCATTCATACGCTCACTAGTACCGGAAATGGTGATCTTATTTGAGCTTCATTCATTAGTGACAACGTGACACAAATCATCCCTCTCCTGGCCTCTCTTCAGTCTAACAAACTCATTTGACATTACTCCAACACCAACTAGTACACAGTGAAGAAGGGATATCAATTATTGTCGGCTTTAAGAACTGAAATGTTTGCACCTCTCCCACTGCACATGGATACGGGGTTTTAAAGGACTTTATGGAGTCTATTTATCCCACCCAAGCAATGTAGTCAAATGCGCGTTTCTACACAAAAGCGAAAACATGAGTAAAATTGTAAAACGTAAAAGCATAGTGTATAAGCGCAAATTTTTGTGTATAATATGATTAATCTTAAACAAACTAGCTTTCTCATTTAAAAAGATCATTACTCATGCAGATAATCTAATTTAACAAACTATGAATTGTGGGGCAAAAGTACTACTAAACCAACAATGCAATAAGGAAATAATCAGACTTGTTCATTCATAAAATGTATAACCAATTAATAATTACACCTCATTATCGACCGTTTTCTTTCGATCTAGATGTCAAATTAAGCAGGTCTACTGGGACTTCTTTTATCATAAGGTTCTTCATCCATTGAACGCGAGAAATCAGATTAATCACTTAAATCACAAATTAAACAACAAAGTCATCACTTGATGAAGTTGTGATGTAACATCCTCGTTTCTCTTGAAAATGTCATATGTCATGCTCGCATCAAGGTGACGTCATCCTAGTATTTCGGCGAGCTTTAAATTATGAAGCAATCGTCGAATTGATTAACTACGACACGAGGAAGGTGTTTGATTAATTGGGTTATGGTTAAACTCAATTTAAATCTAAAAGATTGTGAAGTGAATTGAAACTTGAAGGGTTAATTATGACTAATTAAAAGTTGGATGGTTTAAGTGGCAACCAAGTTTTTGGTTGGGCCATTTGGATATTTGTGATTGGGGAAGAAGATAAACGGGGAGAGATTTCTAGAGAATGAAGGTGGAAAAATATGCACCCTAATTCATCTCCTTCCCTTCCCCCTTTTAGGTCCTTTCTTTCCTCTCCCACACCTCATACTCTCATCACCACAAACACCAAACCTTGAAGGAATCGAAACATTTAGGGGAAGTAGAGCTGTGGAATTGGAAGGAAAGAAGAAGGAAAGGACTAGAGGAATAGAGGAGCTAAAGAATTTTTGCTTTGCAGCATAACAGTGAGTTTAAGAGGCGATTCCAATAAAACCCCTCGTCAAATTTGGATGGCGCGTTCCATACTTTCTAGGATATTATCTGACCGTTGGAATCATCGTTATGATTTTTTGTTTGATGAGAAATGTTGCTGGTCAGATAAGGTACGATCATGTTTTCCTATAGTTGGTGATTCGGGAATAAATGTACAGGTTTTACCCCCGTTTTCCTTAGTCGTTTGTGACAATTTTGCTCCTAAAAGGGTGGTTTTACGCTAGGTTCCTCGTGGTTTAGCGTGTTTCAGGATTTAACAGGTGAAACCAGCCTCGGAGTCGAATGTTGGACGAAAAGGATCGAAAACCGGAAGAAGAGGTGAAAAAGGGCGAGATCACAATTTTCTTGGGATGTTCACGATCTTACATGTCGTGAATAGGAGTTGTGGACCGTGAACACAAGCAAACAAAGGGGTGCGTTTCGGCGCCCAATTGGAGTTCACGAACGCGTTTCAGTGTTCACGGCCGTGAACACAGCTCGTTCCCTATTCAAAAGCTGAGCTGACAGGAAGAGAGAGGGGGGAGCCCATTTGAGTGAGAAAGCCTTCTTCTGATTTGTAGAGAGAGAAACACGAACAAAAGAAGAAGGAGGCTAGGGTTTTGCTCCAAGGTGGATTTTGGGAAGATTTTCTCCAAGGAAATTTCAAAGCAAGGGCCAAGAAGTTTGGAAGACTCCTCCAAGATGGTTTCTACCCCTTTATCCTTGTGTTTCTCCCATTTCTAGCATTTAGTAGAATTCTTTTCACTTGGGTGTTGTGAAACACTAACTCTACCATGTAGTTTTCTTTTATGTGAATTGAATGATTGTCATTGGGTATTGTTTAATTCAAATGTTTGAGGTATTATTCATCTTGATTGTGCATGTTTGTGCTTAGCATCCTTAGGGTTGTGCATGATTGGTGCTTAGCAACCTAAGGATTGTGCATGTCTATGCTTAGCAATCTAATTAGCCACTTAACCTAGTCTAAAGAGGGGAACCCCCCTTCCAAGGGAGTCTCAATTGAGTTGGTATCCCTAGGGATTTTTATGTCTTCTAACTAGGTTAATTTAGGGCAAACCTCAATATTGGATTAAGCAATTTGGTTAAGCGCGCTTAAACCTTCCAACCCTTGGGTTGAGTGAGGGAGTAAGTCAACCATTGATTGCCTAAACCGAGAGGGCCTAGTGATAACCTATAATGCATGTCTCGGTTTAGAAATCATGAGCGTGGTCTACGACCATATTTAAACATACTTATCCTATACTGCATCCGACTAAGGTTTATACTTGGACCTTATGCGGGAAATTATTGTGGTATTCGGGACGAGTCAAGTTTTTGGCGCCGTTCCGGGTAACAACGGTATGTTATCTTGAAAAAGTTGTTTGGTGATAATCTAGCTTTTAATTTCCAGTTTTGAAAGTGTGTGCTTTGCTTGTGCTAGACTTGGTGTGTTTTCCAATTGTGTGTAGGTGGTGCATGACCCGGAGTAACCGGACACCTTTGCTACCACTTGAAGAGGACATAAACCGAACTCTCCGGCTCATAGCAAGAGAGAGAGAGCTAGAGGAGGCAAGGAGAAGGAATGAAAGATGGGGATAACATTTGGATCCCGGTGTTAGTGGAGAAGAAATGGAAGTTGAACCCGTTGTTGTAGTAGAAATGGCGGGGAACCAAAGTCAAGATGGAGCCGCCCACGCTCGTCAGCTGAACGATGTGGCGGAGGAAGAGGAAACCTCGAGGACGATGGAGTACTATATGGCCCCAAGGCCGGCGGACATTGAATCACCAATCCTATATCCTCCAGTGGCGGCAAAAAATTTCGAGATCAAGCCGGCTCTAGTGACTATGATACATAGCAATTCTTTATTCCACGGCATTGAGTGCGAGTCACCAAGAGAGCACGTGCAGAGATTCTTGGAGCTCGCGGGGAGCTTGAAAATCAATGGTGTACCGGCCGAAGCTTTGCAACTAAGGCTTTTCCCGGATTCACTTTCAGGGAAAGCACTTAGGTGGCTTAACAACCGCCCACCTCAGTCAATCACCTCGTGGGACGACCTCCTCAACAAGTTTATGGCTCTTGCCCGCCTTCGAAGACGGCGGAGTGGAGAAAGAAGATCACCCATTTTGAGCAAGAAGAGGACGAGACCTTGAGGGATACTTGGGAGAGGTACCCCGACTATTTTCTTTAGAGCCCACATCACGGGTTTGAAGAACAGTTTCGGATCGAAAACTTTTACGGAGGCCTAATGCAAAAAGACGAAATCCTCATTGACTCCTTGTGTCAAAGGAAATTAATGAATATGGCTCCACCCCAAATAACGGAGATGCTTGAAGACATGGCTCTTAGGGGGTATGATTAGGGGTTGACTAGAAGCGAAAGAAGAAGCAATGATAGGGGAGTGAGAAGCGTGGGAGCGAGGGCTCCACTTGAGGCGAAGTTGATAGAGGTTATGCTTGAAGATAAGAGGCAAGGAAAAGTACGATGATGTCGTGCGGCTGTTGCGGTGCTCGAGCACCAGTCATGAGATGGCGGAGTGCCAAGCAATGAAGGAGGAAACCGCTCCAGAGGAACAAGTCCACTTCGTGGCAAATGCAAGGGTGAACAACCCGTATAGCAATATTTATAACCCCGGATGGAGGAACCACCCCAACTTTGCTTGGGCATCGCCGAAAAATCCAAGGCCCTCGGGTTTTCAAGGCCCCATGGGAAATTTCCAACCTCGGTCGACCTTCATCCAACAAAGACCTCAAGTCCAAGGCTCAAGCTTCCACCAGCCGTACCAAGCACAAGGTACCCTAGAGTTTCAACAACAACAACAACAACAACCCGACAAGCTATCTAAGCTTGAAGACCTAGTGAACAACTTTGTGAGTACGAGTGCCCAAAAGTTTGAGAAGATAGAGCAATTTATTGATGTGGCGACTACCAAGTTTACCTCGGTTGAGGTGGGTCTCTGAAGCCATCAAGCGAACCTCCAAAGTTGGGAGGTGCTAATCAACAACCTTGCCGGCATAATCACCGAGAGACCCAAGGGAGCCTTACCTTCCCAAACCGTGGCAAACCCCAAGGACCATGCCGGGCAAATTGCACTTTAAGTGAATGGTGTGAAGGTGATCTTCGAAGTCGCCACTGAAGAAGTGAAGGAGAAGGATATACTAATCCGAAGAAGGGAGAGAAGAAACCCTCGAGGAATGAGAGGAAGGCGGCAAGGAAGGCATCGCCGGTGGGGGAGTACACGCCACCTCTTCCTTATCCCACGAGGATGTACAAAGAGAGGTTGGAGGACGAGTGTGGCGGTTTCATGGAAATGCTCCGCAACCTCCACCTTAAAATCCCTTTCCTTGAAGCCATGGCTCAAAGGCCAAGATATTCCAAGTACCTCAAAGGATTCCTAACCAAGAAGCCAAAGCTTGAAGGCCTTGCCAACGTGACTCTTGGCGAGGAGTGTTCAGCTTACCTCCTCATCCGCTTGCCAGAAAAGCGGTCCAACCCAGGTAGCTTTACTATCCTTCATGATATTGGTAACCATCATATACACAATGCCTTGGCGGATCTAGGAGCTAGTGTTAATGTGATGCCCTAGAAGCTTTTCAAAAAGTTAGAAATAGGTGAACTTAAAACCTCTAAGCTTAGCATCACCTTTGCCGACCGTTCGGTCATTAGATCGAGGGGTATTGTGGAGGACATGATGGTGAGAGTGGGAAAGTTTTGCTATCCGACCGATTTCGTGATTCTCGACTTAAGTGCGGACTCGGATATGCCACTCATCCTCTGTCATCCCTTTCTTGCCACCGCCAAGGCATTAATAGACCCTAAGGCTAGGAACTTAATTCTGAGGGATGGTAAGGAGAGAATCAAGCTTTAAATTGACCCTAAGGCTAGGAGTGAAGAAGTGGTTTCCAATGATGTGAATGAGAGTGGAGGAGAGCCTCTCAAGGCAAACCCCACCATTACTTGTGTTGCTTTTTGTGATGTTGAGAAGGAAGTGAACGAGTGTACTATGCCCAAGGAGAAGAGGAAGAATGCTTGGAGGAAAATGATGAAATAAGCTTTGGCCCGAAGGAAGGAGAAGTTCAATGAGAAGTTGGCCAATCAAGAGGGCCAACTCATTGAGCCTAAGACGGGAGGCTACAAGCCTCGCCCCGAGAGTGTGGTGGATCCACTCGCGGAGGCATCACGATCCAAGTCGTGATCGATCCCCAACCGTCAAGCTAATGACGATAAATTAGCGCTTGTTGGGAGGCAACCCAACAGAGGTGATATGATCCCAATTGGATCAATCCACAATCCACAATTACTTGCCAAAGAAGTCATCTCAACTAACTTGAAGAATTCCGATTTTTGGCTAAGTGTTGAAACAGTTTCAGGTAGCCTACTTTGGAAGCTTTTATCTTCCAAATGAATCAATGGAAATTGGATATCAAGGGCTTGTTTTGAAGATGAAGTTGCCATCTTTCTAATGGTATGCTTTTTTGGATCCAAAAGATATCATTAAGGTTGTTTTCCAAGGCCTCAAAGTTGCTACCTCAAAACTGGAAAACTGCCAGAAAATGGCAGAAAACTGTTTCGTGAAGCCTACTTTGGAGTTCAATTCAAGGAGCATGGATGGGATTCAAGTCAAAAGGCTTCCACAACATGAAACTAGATATGTTTTTGAAAAAAGGGAAAGAATTGGATGAAGAATTGGAGTTCAGGAAGGCCTCGAACGAATGGCGTGAAGTTAGTACAAAAGTTGCCTTTTGACTGTTTTGCTGGCAACTTACTTGTGTGTCAAGAAAGGAAGTTTGTGGCCGAGTTTTGTACTATTTTTAGAGTTTGTTTTTACCTTAATTGTTTCCTAGGTACATTAGGTTTTTATTAGGTTTATTTGATTTTAAATACCTTCTATTTACGTTGTAAAAACATAAGACTTTGATTAATCCAAAAACAAACCCTTTGGGTTTGTGCAAGTTGCGACTTGTTTGAGTTTGGAAGATTTCAAGCTCGTGAGCTTTGTATCGATTGAATATCCTCTTCAATCGTGGTCGAGCAATCTCGACTAAAGATCTCCAGATCCTCTCAATCTGAGTCCCCAGCGGGCGACTAACCTCCACCGGAGTAAACAGATTGAGGCCCTAACGAACCAAACCTCCACTACCGAAGTAAATCCGGTACAGGATAGAGAATCGACTCCTCGACTAAAGTTGTCAATTTCCTACCTTCAATCAAGGGTGCTCTATCAACCTAGGCAGATATTCTCTTTCTAGGTCAAAGTAGAAATAACAGGAATTTGATCAGGATTCATGCCATTCAAGAAATCAAACCTCAATTGAATATAATCAAATCAAAGGATTCATACTTGGGTTCATACAATCAGACCTAACATACAAATCTAGGGTTCTCCATACCCAGATGAATGAGAAAGTTACTCCATAGAGAGAGACGGGAAATCTAGCTCAGATGCGGAAACCATACTGTGAAGGATGAGATTCTGCTTCTAGCAATCAATCAACACTTCTCCAAGCTCAAGCCGGGCTCCAATGGTGATGAAGATCGATCTAAGGCGCTTGAAGAATAAGGTTCGTCACTTTATCTCTCTAGGTATACACTTTTTTCTCTAAAACTCGGAACCCTTCAAATTTGCCCTTTCTTTTCCCTTAAGAAGCGGTCAATCGCGATCCCCGGTCAGAATACCCAGTCGGGTATTTTAGGTTGCGACCGAGGATTGTTGAAACGCACCGTCGAGGATAGTGGATTAATCCCCGGTCAAGGTCAAGAATACCCGACCGGGGATTTATGCTCAATGCCCGGGGCCCCTTCTGCTTCTGAAACGCCCAAAAGTGATTTTCCCCGGTCTGCTCAGATTAATACCCGGCCGGATATTTTTGCCCATGGCCGGGTATTTTGCTCCTCCAACACACTTTAGCTCAAACGTGCTCCTTTCGACCCGTAACTCGTTTCTTCGCCTCGATGCCAATGCCAAGCCCTGAAATATGACATAACCACACAACCTAGCATGAAATCGACTTAAAACACGAGAATCAACATCTCAAACGACTCAAGAATAGGGGTAAAAATATGTGCAATCAATGTTCTATCAAATTCCCCCACACTTATCCGTTTGCTTGTCCCCAAGAAAACCTAACTCAAACCAATGCAAGTTTCCAGACCTCTATAGCAACAAACAACCCTGATCGTCGGTAGAGGATTTCCTAGATCATATAGCAGCTTACGAGGTCAACTGGTCTTGTAAGATGTCCCCTATCTCGATCAATGCGAGTACTAGACTCAAGCCAGGATTATGAGAAGAAGTAGAAGTAAGACATCCAGTTCATGGATAAAGGGACTCACACCATTTACAACCAATGACTCGTTGTACCGGGGTGCTCTTTCTCTTCATTTCACCGTTGGAAACCCTTTTTTCACTTTCATTTACATTTCTTTTTCTCTTTTTCTTCATTCACTTGGCGGGGGTTCCAACTGCAGTCTTTAGCACGGTCGACCCTTATTAGTCGAGCAAGAGAAATTTTTGTACATCTGGCGCTCGCCAGAGTACTTCTTTTAACTCCTTTTCCTCAAATCGTGTGGAGGGTCAATGAAATTAAGGGGGGTTGGAAGCTCTATCCGTCCCCTTAAAAACACAGCCTCGAGTAGACAAACCGTTCAACGGGTGGAAGTTTTACTTGTACTAGAGAAAACTTAGCTTCACCTTGTAGGTGTACCTCACTAAGGATCACTAAAATATCTTCCAAAACCCGATTTTGTGCAATGAACGATGCCACACGCGTTGGGCTTACCACATGTTTAAGATTTCAATGATTTCGACATGGAGGACCAACTGTTTTTTATATCCCACATGAGCACCCTGTTCGATACACGAGTCCATAACACAATCCAATCAGAGTCACCATTACCACATGAATTTAACGGTCTTAGCTCCACTAATTCACAAAATCAACCGGCACAACAAAGAGCTAGATAGGAAAAATCTTATACTTCAACATCCTCCCTAGTGCGACAGTACCTCCCTAGGTTGATTCTCGTGTTTTAAGCCGATTTCACGCTAGGTTGTGTGTTTATGTCATATTTCAGTGCTTGGCGTTGGCATCGAGGCAAAGAAACGAGTTTTGGTTCGAAAGGAGCATGTTTCAGTTGAAGTGTGTTGGAGGAGCAAAATACCCAGCCATGAGCAAAAATACCCGGGCTGAGCAGACCGGGGAAAATCACTTTTGGGCGTTTGAGAAGCAGAAGGGGGCCCGTGCATTGAGCATAAATCCCCGGTCGGGTATTCTTGACCTTGAACGTGGATTAATCCCCTGTCCTTGACGGTGCGTTTCAAAAATACCCGGTCGCCACCTAAAATACCCGACCGGGGATCGCGATTGACAGCTTCTTAAGGGAAAAGAAGGGCAAAGTTGAAGGGTTCCGAGTTTTAGAGAGAAAAAGCGTATACCTAGAGAGAGAAAATGACGAACCTGATTCTTCAAGCGCCTTAGATCGATCTTCATCACCATTGGAGCCCGGCTTGAGCTTGGAGAAGTGTTGATTGAGTAAATTTCAACATGATTGCCAGAAGCAGAATCTCATCCTTCACGGTATGGTTTCCGCGTCTGAGCTAGATTTCCCGTCTCTCTCTGTGGAGTAAATATCTCATTCACCTGGGTATGAAGAACCCTAAATTTGTATGTTAGGTCTAATTGTATGATCCCAAGTACAAATTCAGTGATATGACTATATTCAATTGAGGTTTGATTTCTTGAATGGCATGAATCCTGATCAAATTCCTGTTATTTCTACTTTGACCTAGAAAGAGAATATCTGCCTAGGTTGATAGAGGACTCTTGATTGAAGGTGGTGAATTGACGACTTTAGTTGAGGAGTCAATTCACTATTCTGTACCGGATTTACTTCGGTAGTGGAGGTTTGGTTCGTTAGGGCCCCAATCTGTTAACTCTGGTGGAGGTTAGCTGCACGCTGG